TGCCCAAAATAAGTGCAGATCCTACAGTGTAGGATTTTCACTTTACATCCTTGTTTTCCAGCTCCTGTGTTCAGAGATTTGAGTGAAACGAATACCAATTTAAATGCAGATGGGGCTAAAGAGTGAAAGTTACCCCACACATTCCAACACAGGTCAAAAACCCAACGTAATTCAATTTAATTAGACAGTGTGAAGTATGACCTCAGAATGTTACAACAGAATTTCCCTTACTTCTTCCCAGCTAAGATGGACAGCAATAGCAGTTTCCACAAAACACAGTACTCCCTCCCATTCTAAAAGAAACCCCAACACAGCTCACCATTTCATGAATTTAATTTCAAACAGTTATAATGACTTGGATCCCACTCAACTGTTCACTTCTTAACTACGTTTCAAGTATATTTTTAAGTGTACCTTCCCAAAAGTTCACTAGCATATTCAGTGAATTCTAGCTGAGTCCTGAGAGGGGCTCAACCTCTTTAAGAAAGCAAGTAATTAAACACCTGAATAGAGAGGCCTAACCTTACCTTTAAAGAACATTTTTGCCCATGAAGGAGTCATATTTAACTCCAAATTTTTCAGAATTACACTGTATCCCTGTAATCTTAATGTTCAGGAAGAGAGGCTAGTCTGTAGAACCTGAAGTACATACCTTCGGTCTGGTGTCCATTACATACATGTAGCGATTTGAAGGATTTGCTTTACTGATGGCTTGCAACATATGTTCATCTTCCAAGCATCTGGCACTGAAACCTGAGAGAGGTTGACTGCATCTGCAAATTGCAGCCTACCATGGAAAACAAAGAACAAATTAGCATCAGTTTAATACCTTTAATTCAAATGCTTTGCATAATTCTAAAAAGATACTGAAACAAATTGTTTCATTCGGCAGATAACAGCACTAAACTGAAAAAGTTTAGGTGTTCCAACTTGCAAACCTTCAAACACAGTGTCTACAACTTAAATCTAAAGGTTTATCAAAACATTTTTTCAGGTTCATCTACATGGGCAAGGTACTGGTTAACAGAACATACTTCCCCCCCAAGTATAAAAATTCCAAAAAAGTACAGGAAAGCAAGTTACTCTCTTGGTATGAAATGAATTATGGTTGGTTTTATTACGCAAGTACAATATGTTATAGTCTAATGTAATTTCCATCACATCATTTTCAATGATATACTGTATTTCAGAAGGTATCAGGTACACCTTCCAAATAGTAATTATCTTCAAATGCATCTAGTAGTTTAACACTCACCCTTCATAAATTCTTCAACTCAGCAGGGTGACAATCCTTCTCTCCCTTCAAAGATACCCTCTAACCAAGACAGGCAGATGCTGCTTCACACCACTCTACCAAACCCTGCAAAACCTTATTTCTCATCCTCTAGTTCTTTTTAGCTTGCAAATTCCTCCTTAAAGAACCAATTCTATTCTTTTGGTGGTTTTTTTTTTAACCCCAATTTTGGCCTAACAGATTTTATTCTTGATATATCAAGGAAGACAGATCACTTAACAAAAAAAGCTATCTTCAGTTATCTTAGAGATCCAACTGATTATCAACTGATTACTTAAGGATTTCTTTTAAACTGGCTTAGCTTAATTCAGCATCCTGTTAGACACCAATAGTGTCAGCTGTATTTAAGGTTATTATGAGTTAGACCATTCTCATACAAAAGTCACTGCACTTACCTCCTTACCTACCCTGAACTACTGCCAAGTGTTGAGAAATACTTTTCAGCACATTTCCATTAAGAGGAAGACACACTATACCTCTTTATTTTTATGATAATACGACAACACTGGGAATCTTCCTTTGCTTCTGAACTTGGAGCTACCAACAATTATGGGCTTGCTTGCAGTTCTGGGAACATAAAGTTCTCTAGGATAGGTTTCACAAATCTGAAAGACAGATACACAAAAAGAATTCTATGTACAAGGCATGAAGCCTATACTAGTTTTATTGCATCCAATTCGAGAGAAGTTAAGTGAAATAAG